TGATCAACCTTGCACTTCATGGAAGAAAAGCAAAGGAAAGAACTTTTCAATGAACGGAAGCTACAAAATGAAATCAAAAGTGAAACTTTTAACGCGCTTTTTCACACGCTTTTTAAATTCAAATTACATTTTTTTGAGTTAAAATTTGAAACACAAATGACGTGGATCATCGAAGGGTGTTTGATGATAAAAACAAGATGTGACCCGTCGATGACCCACGCCATCAGATAGAAGTGCAGATTGTGTCACTTGAGTTTGAACCTGTTAATCCAAATAATATGAAAACCCATATCTTTCTACCAACGTAACTCGAACAAGAAAATTTTCCTCCGAAGAAGAACGATAACTATAAAAGCGCTCCCTATCAACGAAAAATCAAAGAGGGTAAATCTTCATCAAAAAAGAACCAGGAAATAAAATTCTCATCTAAGTGGTAAAATAAACAGAAAATGATCAGTAAAGGCAAACAAAAAACGAAAGAAGAGGCACGTATATACGAACCACTTAATCCGGTGCTGTATTGGACCCCATTCAACACGCCCCTGGCGACCTGTGCAGTCTCCAGTTTATACGTGTCCTGTAGCCTCATCAAAGCGACAGCGGCGCCATTAAGGTCCTCGTCAGTTGGGAATTTAAGGTCGCTCCGTGAGTTGGTGATATTCGCGACAAACGACTTGCCCACGTCCTGGGTAATCAGCTCCTCGACCCGCTTCCAATCGGTGGTCAGTCTTTTCACCAGCAAATAAGCGTTGATCGGATTCGACAGGTACTGCTGAATGTTCCTTGAAGCCTCCTCGTGTTCTCTCGCGTAATCCTCCACGTTTCTGCAACAACGATCAAATATTTCACCTCGTAGAACGTTCTGTTTCATTTTCGTTGTCATACTTTGAACGAAAAGTCTCGAAACGTGAATAAATTGGTAAAAGTTTCCACGATTCTTTATACTCTATGGTATAGTCTTTGCAGTAGGTTTCTTTTAGTTTTATGGAGTTTCTTGGATTTAGTTAGGAATATAGAAGTTTGTCTTTTTTTCTCTTCTTTCTTTTTGACACAGTGTAGATAGGTTTGTTAAAACTTGCTTTGATTGTTTTTTTAACTTAATACGCTCTTGGTATATTTCTTTCGGATAGAGGAAAGAGCTTTGTATCTCGATAGATGTTTTCATGGTTTTCATCTGGATCTAAGTAACGAGAATTTTATACTCAGCGTGTAAAACAGATATATGAACTGCTGAAAGGTTATAATAATTAATCCTGTAAATGAAGAAGCAGAAAGAATACATGTTTACATAATTGCGTAAATTGTGGAATTTACGATTATTTGTTTCATTTTCCTATCACGAAATGAACATAATAATATGAAATTAAATAATTTGCTTCTTCGAGAATTCTGGCTCTAATCATGTATTCACATGATTATGTTATAAAGATTTCTAAAAATGGAGTCGATCGATTTACTTTCTGGGAGACTTTGCCTTCTCTTTCAATCAATACGGTATAAATATTCAAATCACCTTCTTATTCTTGCAAATACTTCAATTTTCAGTATTTAACTGGTCTCATCTAGTTTCCATAAGAAACAATTTCATTCGCTTCTCTACTCATACGAAATACTTGAAATCTTTTACAGCCTTCCGTAACGATGGAAGGGTAATAAAGTCAAGGTTCCGCTGCGATACTTAGTTAACGCACCCGCAACTGTACAAACGAGGAAACGCTGATTTCTGCCGGTTTCCGGTGATTACCCTTTAATGAATTTAGGAAATTCAATCTGCACCGCAAGGAATCCAGCGAAACGGCGTCGTGGACGCTTTTTAATTTAATCTCTCACAGCAAAGGGGTTGCTATGTTCCTTTATTTTTTCTCTGCTATACCAGACGCTGTTTTATCGTGATTCAGCAGATGTTTCCTGTGATTCAAAAGGTACGTTCGTCATTTTCTTTTTTTTTTGGAAATGGATATAACGAAGAAAACATGGAAAGATATATGGAACGGATACAAGACAGAATAAAAAGAAGAAGTACAGATACAGTAAATAAGCAGCACATAAATATGATTTGCCAATCGACAAGATAAAAGGAAAGTGACATGTGTTTAAGTCTTATATATCGTACATATAATGCGTGAAAATTTCCGCTGCCAGAGGTTGAAAGTTAAAAACCTGAAACAGCAGCATTTGACGTCTAGTGGTACACAAAGCATTGTTAAGAAGATAGACTTCTAGCTTTTCCAGTAATTTAACTTCAAAACTTGAACCCGGAAAACTTGAAGTTCCCGGATTGCGGAATCCTTGAAAGCAATGATAACTTTCCTCCTCGACCATCCACCACGGAAGTTTGCGGTTAAAGAATATAGAACTTTTTCGAACTGCAATCGACTGTGAAATGTGATCAGAGTGCATTATTTTAGTCATAAGAATATCTTTGCTACCTTAAAACCCAGGAGAAGAATATTTCAAATGCTTTCGCCTGCTACTCACTATAAAATTTCATTCTATGTATCAGGTTGTCGAAAAAGTTTCTTTTGTTTCATAAGGAAATAATAGACGCACAATGTGTTTTGTTTTATATCAATTTATTGAATTATGCACGAACATAATAATAGAAATAGAACGAAATGGACCACACCTAATTCAATAAAATAATATAAAACAAAAATTGTTGTTCATCTATTATCACCTTATGAAACGAAAGAAACTTTTTCGACAACCTAATACATACGGAAAACTTACACGACTACATTTAAATGTTTATTCTACGGACACACACCTTTCGCAGAAGATTTTATACAATGTTATAAAAATATATATTTGAAATTGCTATGGATCTCGTACCTCGAGCCAGAAATTTAAAAATTGAACTTTAAATAGCAGATCTCAAACTCTAAATACTAAAAGACTTACGATTCTTCATATATTCTTCCACAAGTTTACAATCTCTTACAAACCTCTTTCGTATTTAGCGGTCGTCGCATTTATATCTTTTGCCTATCGTTAACTGCTCTTAAATCGATATCTCCTACAGAACCATCCAATACCATTTTACCTTCCTCTACATTTTCACCATATTCCTTCACCTCTGCCCGCCAGAAACGATGCAACAATACGGAAGGACAATTTTAGCATGTCCTACTAAACCAACAATTTGAAACACTTTCCAGAAGCCCATCGATGTATCGCCAACATAGCGACGTCCTTTTATGAAACAATTTAGCAATCCTCACCGCTTCCTGCCGTTCCATTTTCTCTCGGTCTCGCGATCGCGTTTTCCAACAAAGCCTGATGTGATCCCTGCATCCACGACCCCTTCTTCTCACCCTCGCCCACCTATCCATCCTCTTGTTTCCGGGGGTTTAAAGAGAAATACAAAGGACTTGGCAAGATGACGAGGGAATTATTCAGTCTAGTCCTGTATTTTGCCGGGCACCGTGCAATAGGCAATAACTGCCTGCCGTAGATAACGACCGAACTTTATCCTTCCTTCGTCCCTTCCACCCCTCAAGGGGACAGGGATAATTCGCGAAGACCGTTTTGGAACGTGGGGAATCGACCGGGAAACCGACTATCCCGACCCGACGTAATAATACGTCGTTCGATGGGAGAGACGCGTGGCTCGCATGCAGATTCCACGGCTCTCGATTAATTCCCACACGATTCCTTTACACCCTCTTTCCTTTTTGCTTCGTCACACGGTCGTTCGAACTCATGTGCGTTCAAATGGGATTCGTTTCGTTGCCTCCTGCAGTTTCTTCAAGGATGACTTCGAACTGTGTTTAATTTCGCGTTTGAGATTTTTCGCTTACGTTGTTTAGTATGATTAATGTGAATTTCGCGGGTTTTTCAGGACGTAAATTGATTTTGATGAATTTTATGAAACGAAGAAATGTGCAGAAATAGATTAAGTATCGAAGGTTTAGGTAAAGTATAGCGAGTCTGAGATTAAATATTAGTGTTCTTACGTACGATATGCCAAATTTTAATTATCTTCCTTGTATTATACTTTCATACAAATGTATAATACATATTTCCATACGAATATTCTTTATCTATACAAATAGTTTCGCTGCCTTTTCTTTTACAGTTTTAAATACTTATCCTCCAGAACTTTCCCATAATTACAGTACTAAACAGTCTAGCGATACAAAAATTTCGTTCCCTTTTACCTTAACGTTACAAGACATGGATTTCATCTGCGGAATATAAATTTCAAACTGAAATGTGTGCGTCTAAGTTCCTAAGTGAAAACCCGAAAGCTTCGATTGATGTTTCCATCGATAACACGTGACAACATGAAGAATTCTCTTGATAACTCGAGACCGTAGAATTCGAGAGTACATGGCGTTCCAGTCGATCAGTCGAGAGTAGGTGTAACGGTGGCCGATGATCGTGCACCGTGCACGAATTACGCCGAATTAAAGTCGCGATAAAGCGGTGCTGTTTCGGCCGAGTTTCCATTTCGATCGCATTTGCATGAGCGTTCCCCTCGTTATCTCGGCTGAACCGATCACGCAAATGGCTCTTCGCCGTCGTTCCGGCGTTCTCAATCTCGTCGGTTGAACGACCGGATAAAACGAGAGCCGAAAGAAAACGCGTGGAACCGCTTCCCCATCGCCGGCAGGGATCTCCGATCCGGGGAATACATTGTGCCTCTCGAAATGAAATTGTCCTATTCCTATCTTCCATCTGACTCGTTCTTCTTCCTCTGTCTTAAAGTCCGTTTTCAACGACTTTATTCTCTCACCAGGCGTACTACCCCTCCGCCGCCTAAGCTTGCAGATTCCTTTAATCGTTGCATTTTGTCTGTTCTTCTTATTTCGGTGTTGATCTTTAGCGTATTTGGATAATGGCATTATTTTTTAACGACGATGAGATTATGTTATTGTTGTTTTATCCTCCAACTTTCGTCTCTAGAGATTTCGTTCACTAACTTCCCTAACTTTGGCTTCGCTCTTTTTAAACCTTCTTTGTTTCTATTGCAACGTATCTGTGGCTCTTTTCAGCTACACGAACGAGTATATTAAATCACAAAGTAGTGTAACCATATACGTACGTACGTGTGCAACGTTCCGTGGACAATATGGCTCCATTTTACCGGAGAAAAGGAGACAGCCACGATTTTCGTCGCGACGATTCCTACCGGAAATTGCAGGGAAGGTGAGCATGCCACTGACGCGACGACGGAAGTGTATAAAGATCATTATGATGTACGTGCTATGAATGATAGTGACGTTGCGAATGTACGCTTTTATGGGCTGTTACTCGAGTTACTGTGATTTTCAACATGTCTGAGGTCAATTTTAACAAGTGAGATGCCAATTTTCGTATTATTCGGAATTCGATGGAATAGTGGAATATGTAATTCATTTTGTACTTTTACATCTTAAATATGTATACAGTACAGTATCGCGGATTAAAATATTCTTAAATACGATTCCCGTATAATCTCAACGTTCGATGAAATTTTATTTTTGCAATAGAATAGCTTAGATTCGTTTTTTGATTGAATAAAATCTATTTATATATCCAGCTTTTAATAATCGTTTGACTATTGCGTCGAGGCAGATTTCTATTGTTAAATTAGTTTTAAGAAATAATTATATTCTATCGTCGTGCGGAGTTGCATGTTAGTCGATCTTAATAGTAACAGCTCGTCATTAAAATGCACAGTGAAATTTTCAATTGCCTGTAGACGCGTTAAAACCAATGAATAATTCTATCAGCCGGTGTACACGATGCAAATGGAGCGTGTCAAACATTAAAATACTGCTCGTTAGAATTCTCTCACTCGAAGGGGTTTCGCAGGAAACTCGCGATTAGTTCCTAAGAAAATATTTCGTGGGAACGAAGACTCTGTTGCTTGGCGAAACCGTCCTATACATTTTAACCGAGTTAAAATAGAAAATTTGAATTGAAAAAGCAACTCCATCCTTCTTGAAATAATAAATGTAAAAATGAAGCTGAAATCCTGAACATCAGACTGCTCAAAGAATATATTTAACCTGATACGTTTAATATCAAAATTACCCGAGTGGTAAAAATAAAGAATTTTTACAGATACTTTTAACATTATGCATCTATACATATTTCCATTTTATAGATATTTTTATATGGAAAAAACATGTCCATGATACAGGTTTGAATATATCGATCAAAAGATAATCCCTATCAAGGATCATTAACGTAATTCCGTTAGAAAATGACCCGCAACTAACAACAACGCGATATCTTTAATTTTCGCTTAATTACAGTCTCGGACACGTCGCGTGTCCAGTCGCATTTTTCATGTACATTTTAGAACGAGGTCTCTCTAAAACAAAAACCGAATGCTCTTACGTTGATAAATGAACGCGATTTTCGCATAGATGCGCAAAAAGTAGCAAATTATGTAAGTTGAGTCGCGTGTTAAGGAGTGTCCTTTTTCTTAAGAGAAAAATTGAAACAAGAAATGAAATACATTTCCGGCTACAAATTTACATGATTTTCCAACTGCTCTATGTGAAACTGATTAGATTTGAAATATGGTTATTTGGTATATTTGCCAACGAAATGGCGCATCGCGTCATGCTGCTCGCGTGTTTAAGGCGCGTTCGTGCTTTTTGAATAAAGCCTGAAGTATTATAGGTTGTATTATAGGCTAGTAGTTCATATTGCATCGCTTTCTCGATATATCAGATCGTAACGTATAGCAAACGTCAGTTTGAACGACTCGAATTAGATCCTTCATCGCGATTGCATTAGATTGTTGTATAATAAATTTCGTGTTAAGATAAACAGTCAAACTAGAAACGATCTATGTCTATATATATGTCGGAGATCAGAGGACTCCGATCGTGATTCGAATATATATATACATCACGCGCATCAGATTAAAATGAAAATATTTCATCGAAGTATATTTTTTTTTTGGTAGGTGTGTAAAATAAGTTGCAATTAGACTCGTATAATTTTTTGGTTTCTAATTTCTTCGCTTCTCTTACTTTTCTCTCTTCTCTTGTTATTTAGTGCAATGAAGGTAAATGAATTTACAGATTTATATTTCTTCTGTTTCAGGTAAGATTAATATTCAATATCGTTCAATGAAGCATGAAGCGGCTGAAACAACGATAGGGGACGAATGAAACAAATCGTTCGAATATCTCGACTAAAAGTGTGCAGGAGGTGATTAAGTTAGGCGGTCGTAGTTGTATTTAACATCTTAGAGTATCGCTCCGCGAAACTTTCAGTTCAGTTCTCGTCGGCCCAAGTACCTCATTTGTACTTCCATTATCTTGATACAATACACTATCATCCCCAGAAAAAGGCGAAATGGAACAACAGCGCAAAATATCCGGATATTTGTTCCTGTTTCAAATTAAATAACAAAATTCAAGATAAACAGTATTTAATGTTCACAATTTCTATTTGTTTGGCTCTTCTCCAAAATAGTTGAAAGTTCCAAAGTATCGCGCTATTATCTGTTGCATCCTAACACTCTACATTCTACACTGCACATCTATAATTTACTATCAGTCAAATTGCATTATAAAAGTTATTCAACGAATCGATCCTTCCAAGTCAGTTGATCGGTCATTTTCCCAAATCCATTATCGCTTATAATTACGTGAACGTCTTTAAAATTCGATAGTCGCTACTGAATACTTTAAATTTAATTAATTTCTAATCAACAACACAATCGAAACAGCATTCGTTATTTCAATAATGAATCACACAATAGCGATAGCAAGGAGTTTCAACTTAGCTTTCATAATTGAAGTATGGTAAGTGTGCACTAATAAAGTAATATTGATATGCAGTAAATTTGTTCACCTCTAAAATGAATTTTTTACGAAAGACAGGAAACGTAACTTTTTACGTTTCTCATCTATCGTCTCCAAATGTTATCCATCTTTTAACACTGTGACGCCACGGTGGGTCATTGATAACCGGAGTGCTTGAACTCCTTATAATTGTAAAAATTGTATGAAAATTGATAGTTAGGGCATTTTCAATACAACCGATAAATAGAAGATACTTTGAAATAAAAAGTGCCCCATTGAACAATTAAACATTTTTATTAGATCAATAAAAAGAATGAGAACAAATCTTGCACCTAACTGTGCACTGTGTTTGCATCCACATCTTTGATGGGTAATCTACGAATATTATTATAAACACACCTTAGAAAATAATCGTAAATGCTGCTTTATAATCATATAATTGAAATTAGAAGTGTGCACATACCTTACTATTATGTATAGAATGAGCAAATACTATTTACTAATATCTTCTACACGTTTCAATAATATATTCTGCACGTTTTGCTTACGACGAAATAACAAATGCGAGTGGTTTGTTGAAATAAACGAAGTCTTGTTATAATATGTCTGTTATCAATCAACTGTTACCAAGGTCACCCGTGACCACCAATAAAACGGTCCATTGGGGAAGAATGTTGTCTTACATTATCAATTTATTATTATTTTACCATTATATGCTTTGAATAATAAAAATACTGCCGTGGCGTCCTGAGCGAAACATGTGATTTCGGCGTGACAGCCAAAGTGTTAAGTCTATTTAAAGAAGCCATTTGTCCATCCCATTACTAATTGAATTGATATTTGAGATTCGATTATACGGCTCTCCTGTTTCCTGAATACGATAAATTATCGATGATCCATGCCAATGGATGACGAACGCATCAAGCGGTTAAATAGTCGACGATGTCCGTGCCTCTAGCAAAATTGGCATTGTCGCGAGCAATTCCAGCATGAGCCAAGAGACCATCGAGGCTGGCTTAATAATGCAAGGAAGCTGCCGCTCGGCCGAGCCAGATAAATTATTCCCCGCCATTAGATCCCAACAGAATTATTAAATTAAATCTTGATTCGCGATATTCTCCATCTTGACACCTATCCTCTCTCCCTTGCTTGTTAATCAGCCGTACTCACAAATGTCACGGAATAATTGACCGAGTCGAGGGACAAGAGTGAAACGAGCGTCAGCCGTTTTTCAACCGGGCTTAGGGGATGAATTTTGACGACTACGCGCTTTCGTCGGCTCTGCGGTCGATCATGGTGTCTGCAAATGCAACGGGGATTTTAATCGTTGGTGATATTTTTAGTTAACGCGCCCCTCGCTATCATTGTCCCATATGGCACACTTCAATGAGAGAATTATTACATTCGTAGAATAAAAATTTGTTTGTTTCTGTAATTGTCGAAAGCATGCAGATGCTTGTGGTAAAATTAACGTCGGCTTTTTTAAAGAGAATTTGCAACTATATCTGCTTGCTTATTTCCAATTTATCGCTTTAATTATTCTATCAGAGTGATTCTTATTTTTGAAAATCATTGCTCCCCTTTTTCCTGTCCGTCGACCAGATAGCACTATTTACATTCAATCTGCAACGTTCTTCATCTTCCACCCTTTTCGAAGATCGAAGATGGGTCTTTCATTTCTCTACCGACATGCTGATGTGTATTTTTCGAGAACGGTAGCAGTTATCGAAACATGTGTCAAAGGGCTTTAAAAATACCGTCTGCGATCGAACGAAAACATTCCATATAGGAATGTGAAACAAACGTTGGGTTATTGTTCCATTAACGAATCGGCTCGATTCCCAAGGAACTTATGGAAAAACAGGAAAACTATTAATTCGACGTTAATAATCCAAGACTTGTAATAATCCAATATCGATATTAAAAAATATTTGTAACGTCATCGATCTCTTCTATTTTTCAATTTACGAAGTTAATCAGGATGGTTTTTCACCGACACAATTTTGAACAGAGAAATTCGTATACAAAATGGCGCTTTAAATTGCGCATAAAAATATACGCGAAAACAACGAGAACTGCGTGGCGACACGTTAATTCATTCGCCAATTCTAAATTCTCATAAAATGCCCGATAATATCATAAAAAGAAGCCCACGATCGTTTGTTCGACACGGAAATCGAGCAAGTCTCAATTATGTCGGGAAATTGGAATCGATAAGTTGGCGACGAAAGTCACCGTTTCCACTGTCGGCGATTTCTTTTTGTTCTATAGACAACGTCGGTGTCTGGTGGAGTATCCAATTACAAGTGGACCGCGATCCAATCACGATATCAACTCGAAAGCGGAAGATAGGGACATCCCCGACGCTATTGTCCTCGACGCGACACAATGGTCGTCGACGCGAACGTCTTTCGCGCTGCGTTATCTTGCGTCCGCGGGAATCTCCGCGACTTTCTCCCCTTTCGACGTTGATTTCACCCTTTTGTCAAGCTAGATCGTCCACTGTTTCCAGTTATGAAATGTTTGTAGCTTGCATTTTCTAGTTCATCGAGTTGAAAAGTTAAGTCAGTTTGCAGTTCGAACGGTCGACTGAGGAAGTTTGAGCAGTTGGCAAGCACGAAATGTTTTGTTGGCGGGATATTCGGCTTAAATTTTTTGGAAATTTGTGGTTAAACGTTTGACAAAGATAAGATAAATTGAATGAAATAAAAAATGGAAATCAATTGAAACAGTTGCAGCTTCTGGTTTTTTCCTACGATGGTATAGTTTAGAAATTTATATTAATATTAAATATATGTAATTTTTGCTATCAAAAATTGAAATAATAGAAGAATTAAAAGAACCAAAGAAAGAATTGAAATAGTAAAAATTGGAAGAAATTAAAGTAGTTTTAAATTTGTGCGTTCGTTAAAAAATAGGGTAATTTCAGCTTTAGGCATTACAGGTATATATAAAAAGATGTGAATTTTCCGTAAAGATTTGCATAAAATGAGATTAATTAATTAATTAGTTTTGGATTTTAGTAGTCAATATATTACGAAACTCAAGTGGTTGGAATTTTAATCTTTAAATACCATTCTAAAATTCGGAGAATTTATTTTTCTAAATGAACAGAGAAGGTCACACGTTGGAATGTAAGCTGGGGAATAGCAATGAGGGGTGTCCCCAAGTTTTCTGCAGGTCGAGCACATTTCGCAGCGCAGGGAATGTTGAAGATGTAATGTAGGGTTGTTCAACATGTCCCTAATTTGGGGGACTAGATGCAATTTCAACTACTATCTGAAATCTCGTGTTCTCGTGAGTTAACGATACACCAACCACAGCTAAAATTGAAGAAATTTTCAATTCTATCTAAATATTCGTCGAAAAATTCTGTAGATAACACTGAAATCTAATTTCACTAAAGAGAATTCACTAAACAGGTTTCCAAACGAACGATCGATCGATAGCGAAATTAATTTCTGAGTCGCGAACAAGCTCTAAGGATAGGTCGAACTCGAGATAATCGAGTTGTCCATCTGTATTCTACATGGCGACGTAACAATGGAATTCGATTAATTCGTCACGTCTAAGCGCACTGTTTCCTCCGGTTCCACGCAATCTGAATTCCAAATATCAGAAACGCTCGTTTCCAAATCTCAAAAGTACAAACCTTAATCTTCAAATATTCGAGATACAAGATTGGATCTTTAACAAAACACATATCCAAGCCTGAGACTGTTCAAAATGAAACTACAAAGTCTAGTTTCAAACTAGCGATCAAACTAAATAAGGTCACAAACAATCCGATTATATCATAATTCCATAAGAATAGATTATCGTCAGACATTTCTTCAATTTTGTAACGAACTTCCAAACAAATAGAGAGAGCCTCTTCTATAAAAATAGATTATCGACAAACTTTTCGTAAATTTAACCCAATAGAGATTCTTGCTCACCAGCTTTCCACTGGAGCTTTCCTCGGCCTCGAAAGGCCGAAGAACAGGTGCTGGTATATCGTAGTCGACACTGTGGGTCAGGTTGTATAGGGTCGAAAGGATGTATCGATTTCACTGGTGGACCAGTGTTAGTCGGCGTAAGTGACGAGGTGTCGTATAAATTACCGGAATAAACGAGCCAGGTGTGCTTGACTTTGGCCGTTCGCGCGACACCGTTCACCTGACATCCACAGCTGTGACAGGTCGACATTCTGCACGCGGAATTGGTCCACTCGTTGCCAGATGGAGAGAGGAGGAGAGAGAAACCAATCGGGCCTGGACAACTCCTGAGCATCGTTCGACTGTCGTTGCTTCGCCCCACGATGGACCCTAATGAGCTTTTGCGATTGCTATCTGCCAGGTTTCCGCCCTTCTCGTTTCTCCAACCGATTTCGATTCAACGTGCCAGCGTACAGCTGTGTGCCGATTAGGATTACTGCATATGAACGTTACATGTCAGCATTGCATCTGCGTTCAGTCATATCCTTTTCGATGAAAATGAAACGACAAGTTGGTATCAGAAGTCGCGTTACGTTTAAATTGGTGCACATGAATTTATGTATTCGTACGATATATTCGCACGAACGTATTCCAACATTTGTAGGAAACGCGTGTTGTACGAAACATTTGTAAATTTAATTAGCGCTGTAACGATATTCATGATTATGATGGTTCAGTGTGAAGTAAATCTGAAAGTACATCGAAGCTATAAGATATTTAGTGTCGAGATATTATGGTTATATTATATATTCATTGGGACCAATTTTAACGCTTATTATATGTTGTGTATTAATTTTTAATAAATCTATGTTTTTATAA